ATGTATATAGAGATTAGAAATGCATGTGAAAACGTCTCAATGTCAATTGCTTTGGAAGGAATTCTTCTGTATGAAAAAAAAAAACAAGTATCTTCTTGAAGTCCCTCAAATTAAGGTAAAGAATAAGAACAAATCGTTCTGGAAGAACGCAAAGGAAAATAGCTTTAGATACTTAAGTGACAATAGAATTTATTCTCATAATTGTTTTAATAGCTTTTGTATAATCCTCATCACTATTATGAGATATTAATTGTATTTATCAAATCTGTAATCATTATGCCAAAAAATCTGAATTACTGTAATATTTTGTATATTGTTAAAACTGTAACTTTTAATTGTAAAAAAAAAGAGAAAAAAAAATACTGGTGAAAAAAAAAAGAAAAAAGAAAAGAAAGGAAAAAAAGCACTTCTCGGACTTCACTTTGCATATGTGTCAACCTGGAGATTGGAAGTACGGATTTTGGCTGAATGTAGAGGCACATGCTTCTAATTCTGCATTTGGGAGTCTAAGGCAGGAATATCTCCAGTTAAATTGTAAAAAAAAAGAGAAAAAAAAATACTGGTGAAAAAAAAAAGAAAAAAGAAAAGAAAGGAAAAAAAGCACTTCTCGGACTTCACTTTGCATATGTGTCAACCTGGAGATTGGAAGTACGGATTTTGGCTGAATGTAGAGGCACATGCTTCTAATTCTGCATTTGGGAGTCTAAGGCAGGAATATCTCCAGTTAGAGGGCAGTCTGGACTACATTGTGAGACCCTGACTCAAAAAAGCAAAATGAAAAGGCGAATGGGAGGTGTGCTGTTTCTGATTGATTAGAGAAAGTCTGAGTGTGGTTTGAGCCTCTGCAGTTCTAACACTGTTCCAGGTGGTGGTAGTGCTGCTGGGTCCTACTTTGCTGGTGAGTCTCTAGGTTGCCCAGCTGGCCAGAGATGGCTTTCCCAAGGAAGAGCTGGCTTGTGAAAGCCAATTAATGACTGGCTTGTTAAGAGAATTCTGAGCATTGCATAATTTGTTGGATCACTTTCTTCTCTCTACAGATGTTGAAAACTCTTGGGCTGAACTGTGGAAGAGTGATTTTAAATTAAATCCAGATCTTCATCTTCCAGCTGAAAACAAGTACATAGGTCAGTAAAACTATTATCATGTATGTTTGTCCCTATGCTAATAAAACATACCTGCAGAATACATGCTACTTTACAAATGAATTAATATTTTAGACTCCAGCAATATTTGGGGATGGTCATTAGTATTTTATTACTTTCCTAGTGGAGCAAAAATAAATTCAGAAATGCAAAGTGACTTATCCAAGGCTCTTCAGCTGGCTTAAGTCATCAGGACTTACACACAGGCCTTGAGACTCTCTGAAGTTTGTTTTTGCTTCTACTTGATAGCTGATACTTTCATAGAAGTTCACAGAGAGAGAGAGAGAGAGAGAGAGACAGAGAGACAGAGAGACAGAGAGACAGAGAGACAGAACTCACATTGATGTTTGCTAAGGACTCAGGAACAACTTATAGGGTAGTAGGAGTGTTTTGGGTTGATTAAAGACAACTTGAAACTAGATAAAGGCTATTACACAGCTTTGTGCTGACATCCTTGAATTTGTTCACTTTAAAACTTAAGAAACCAATTTTATTTATTATTTTTACTTTTTATGTATGTGAGTGTTTTGCCTGTACGTATGTAAGTGCACCCATTTCATGCAGTGCCTATGGAAGCTAGAAGGGCTGTGTCAGATCCCCTGGCACTAGGTTTACAGATGGTTGTCAGCTGCCATGTGGGTGCTGGGAACCAAACCCGGGTCCTCTACAAGAATAGCCAGTGCTTGCAACCCCTGAGCCATCTCTCTAGCCCAATTTGTTCACTTTAAAACAGTTAATCGTTTTGTTATTGTAGTTTTTTTGCTTCAGGGTCTCACCATGTAGTCTTGGCTGGCCTAAAACCCACTATGTAGACCAGGCCTGACTGTTCAACTCTGCCTCTGCCTCTGCCTCCTGAGTGCTGGGACTAAAGGCATATGTATACCACCACGTCCTGCTCAGTTCTTTTTAATAAATACGAGTGCTTTTCTTTTCCAAATCTTTTTTTTTTTTTTAAATGTGTATGACTGTATTGCCCGTGTGTAAGTGCACATGCAATGCCTGCAGAGGTCAGAAGAGGGTATTGGATCCCCTGAAACAGGAGTTACAGATGGTTGTTAGCCATCATGTGGGTGCTGGGAATTGAACCCAGGTCCTCTTCAAGAGCAGCCAGTGCTCTTAACTGCAGAGCCATCTCTCCAATGTATTTTCTCCAAATCTTTAAATTAACTTTCACCTACATGTTGCATAAATAATTTCCATTAATTTGAAATGACAAGTTTGGCTTTATTTGAGCTGAACTATTTGGTAACCTTTCAAATGTTCCTAAGGTTGGTAAAAGATACTCTTTTTAAAAAATATTTTATTATTTTTATTTTATGTTTGAGTGTATTGCCTGCTTGTGTACCAGTGCACCCCTGTTGTGCAGTGCCTACGGAGGTCAGAAGAGGGTGTTAGATCCTCTGGAACTGGAGTTACAAATAGTTGTTAGGTGCCATGTGGGTGCTGGGAATTGAACCTGGGTTCTCTGTAAGAGGAATCAGTGCTCTTAACTGCTGAGCTATCTCTCTAGTCCTGTAAAAGATATTCTCGTGGTGCATACCTGTAGTCCCAGCATTTGGGAGGCAGAGGGAGGCGGATCTCTGTGAGTTCAAGGCCAGCCTGGTCTACATAGTGAGTTCCAGGACAGCTGGGGCTACAGGGAGACCCTGTCTCAAAAAGACAAAAAAAAAGTATTCTTTTTCAAGAATATATTCATCAGTCTGGAGAGACGGCTCAGTGGTTGAGCGCTCTTGCTGCTCTTACAGAGGACCTGGGTTCAGTTCCCAGCACCCATGCAGTTAACAACCATCCATAACTCTAATTCCAGGGATCTGAGGCCCTTTTCTGGCCTCCCCAGTCACACATGTGGTGCACTTACATACACAGAAGCAAAACACTCATGTACAAAATAAAAGTAAATATTAAAAAATATACATTCATAAATTGAAATATGGAAGTGCCTGACAAAAGTCCCTCTCATAGTTAAAATTACTTGCAGACTGGAGAAATGACTCAGCAGTTAAGAGCACTGGATGCTCTTGCAGAGAACCCAGGTTCAATTCCCAGCACCCACATGGCAGCTAACAACCGTCTGTAACTTTAGTTCCAGGGGATCTGATGCCCTCTTCTGGTCTCTCTGGGCACTGCACAACACGAGTGCACTTACACAAAAAAAATTGATTTGAAAAATTAAAATTACTTGAGAAGGGAGTGAAAGCAGAATGTACAGAGCTCTGAAACAACTGTTGGGAAATGATAGAGCTTCAGATTTCACATAGTTTAAGGCCAAGTATATATATGGTACTCCAGTATTTGAATAAATTATTATTATTATTTTTTGCTTAGCCACGGACTTTGTATTGAAGGCTTTTGATTGCCCTGAAACTGAATACCCTGTTAAAATTGTGAATACTCCACAAGGTTGCCTGTGGTATAAGAAAGACAACAAATTCAAAATCCCCAAAGGTAATGTTCCAATCCCTTTAAAAGCATAAAGAAAGTATAGTATGGAGCTAAACAGAGTCTTTAGAGTCCTTGTCTTTCAGGCAATGGCCCAAACTGTGTTGCTTTTTAATTTTTGTGTGTGGCATTAGAATTTTGTGTGGCATCTTGGAATAATACTATGAATGCTCTTGGATGCCATTTAATCTGTGTCCCAAGCCTTGCACACAGCCTCTCTTTCTCCCTGCCTCCCCCTTCTCTAGAACTTCACTCAATATGTAGCCCAAATGGGCCTCCAAATGGCAATCCTCCTACTTTAGTCTCCCATGTTCTGAGATTACAGGGCTGTAACATTATGCATGGCATGGCAGTTTTTCTTGAATGGCTTATAAGAGTGTAGAGAACATTCTTACCATTTATTTAGCAGCTTTTTTAAAAAGGCTGTTTGAGCATTGGGTTGCTCTCTTAATGTTCCTGACGGGTATACTTCTATAAATATTTTTGCCTATCTTATTCATAGACCTTTTTGTATGTATTTATGTGTTAGATGTTCCCATAGATTACAGTGTGCTTTCTAGGATACTTTCTTTGGAATGGTAAAAACACCCTTTAAAAGTTCTTTTTTGAGGGGATCTTTTTGAGACAGAGTCTCCCTGTAGCCCCAGCTGGCCTGGAAGTCACTGTGTAGACCAGGCTGGCCTCGATTTCATAGAGATCTTCCTGCCTCTGCCTCCTGAGTGCTGGGATTTAAAACATATGCCACCATGCCTGGCCCTTTAAAAGTTTTAAGAGTAAAAATCTAGTGTGTAGAAATAAAAAAACTGCATTGAGGATTTAAGAATTTGTAGTTTAAAGTTTAAACGCCATATATTAAGGGAAAAAATCAGGCATTTAACATAACTGAGGTCTCTGGCTGTCAGTATTTTATGCATGGTCTTTCTTCTTTCAGCCTATATACGTTTCCATCTGATCTCACCTCTGATTCAGAAGTCTGCAGCAAAGTAAGCAGTTGTCTTCTGTTCATTGTATTATTAGAAAGCTGTTTTGTAATGCTTCTGTTATTCTCTCTACCAGTACCTGGGCTATGTTAGCTGTTTCATGTATTTTTTTCTGGGGTCGAAACAGAATAATAAAAGTTAGTTATGTAGTTATTGGCCTTGGAAGGTGCCTTAACATTTAGCCCTCATCATTCAGCCTTGGATTGGAGCCAGTCAGGTCTGGCTTCTTGTCTGTGGAGAGGACTGACTGGTCTGCTGATCTAGTACTTAAAGACTTCCAGGGTTTTATTTAGACTTTGTTCATTATAAATTATTCATGCATTTATGTAGATAGCTGCACAGTGGAGATCAGAGGGCCAAAAAATGTGCTCAAATCACTGGAAGGGCTTGGAAAATGGTGCAGTTCTTTTGCTTCTCAATTATAAAATCCATCTGTAAGGTGGGAAACAATACTAAAACTCACTACTACCTACTCCAAAAAGTATACTACTGTTCTCCCTTTCCTCATATTTTTAATTCATCAGCCAGAAAGCCTAAGCCCAGGGGTAGCCGCGCCTTGGGGCTGGTTGCTTCTGATGCCTGTTCCATTTGCTGCAGTGTGCAGTGTGCACATTGTCGTTTTCCATGTGAACATGACGTGAAACGGTGGGAAAACTGCTGAAGGTGGTTCTGTGACACACCTGTGAAACTGAGTCCTCAGTAAGCGAGATTTGCTTTCAAACCTCGTGGGCGGACATTTGTACATTCTGAAGTATAGAATTAACACTTTATTAACAGTGAACTTCCTTACTCTGAATTGAGACAAACCTATTTACTCTTGTCTTTCTTACCAATTAAAGATTCTGGTTGCATTTTGTATTTTCCAGTGTGGTCCTCTTTGATATCTTCGTCAATATTCTGACCCATAACCTTGCAGAACCAGCTTATGAAGCTGATGTGGCACAGCTGGAGTATAAGCTGGTAGCTGGAGAACATGGTTTGATCATTCGGGTGAAAGGATTCAACCACAAACTACCTGTAAGCATATGAACTCCATTTTTCTCAGTGGAAGCTTTAAAATAGCATGTTTCTTTTTGTTGCCCCATAGCACCAAGCAGAGGCTTGTGCATGCAGTGCTTTCATAGATGTGCTTACAGATCTGCAGTATTATTTTATTCCTGGCTATAGTAGCCATATATAAATCTGTGTGTTGGGGGGGGGTCATGTGCTCACACGTGTGTGCATGTATGTGGAGGCCAGAGGTCCACATCAGTTGTCTTCAGTTGCTTTCCACATTTAAAAAACACTTTAAGCCGGGCATGGTGGCGCATGTCTTTAATCCCAGCACTCAGGAGGCAGAGGCAGGTGGATCTCTGTGAGTTCGAGGCGAGCCTGGTCTACATAGTGAGTTCCAGGCCAGCTGGGGCTACAGGGAGACCTTGTCTCAAAAAGACCA